CCTAACCCTTCTGTCCTCCAGTATCGTCAGTCCGATTTCCCTCAACGTTTTATCGTACGACATTCTCCTGAGCTCTGGAACTAGCCTTGTTGCAAACCTTTATACTTTCTCTAACTTCTTGACGTGCTTGACCAGGTGTGGGTTCCAGACTGGTGCTGCATACTCCAGAATGGGCCTAACGTACACAGTGTACAGTGTCTTGAACGATTCCTTATTAAGGTATCGGAAAGCTATTCTCAGGTTTGCCAGGCGCCCATATGCTGCAGCAGTTATCTGGTTGATGTGTGCCTCCGGAGACGTGCTCGGTATTATGGTCACCCCAAGCTTTCTCCCTGAGTGAGGTCTGTAGTCTTTGTCCACCTAGCCTATACTCTGTCTGCGGTCTTCTTTGCCCTTCCCCAATCTTCATGACTTTGCATTTGGCAGGGTAGAATTCGAGAAACCAGTTTCTGGGCCACGTGTCCAGTCTGTCCAGGTCTCTTTGTAGTCCTGCCTCATCCTCATCCGATTTAATTCTTCTCATCAACTTCACATCATCTGCAAATAGGGACACTTTAGAGTGTATCCCTTCCATCATGTCATTCATATATATCAAAAATAGCACTGGTCCTAGAACTGACCCCTGTGGGACCCCGCTCGTCACAGGCGTCCACTGTGATACCTCTTCACTTACCATGGCTCGTTGTTGCCTCCCTGTCAGGTATTCTCTGATCCATTGCAGTGCCCTCCCTGTTATATGCGCCGGATCCTCCAGCTTCTGCACTAATCTCTTGTGAGGAACTGTGTCGAAGGCCTTCCTGCAGTCCAGGAAAATACAATCAACCCACCCCTCTCTCTCGTGTCTTACTTCTGTTACCTTGTCATAAAACTCCAGAAGGTTTGTGACACAGGATTTGCCTTCCATGAATCCGTGCTGGTTGTCATTTACAATCTTGTTCCGTTCCAGATGCTCCACCACTCTCCTGATAATCTTCTCCATGACTTTGCATACTATACACGTCAGAGACACTGGTCTGTAGTTTAGTGCCTCGTTTGTGTATGTGTGTGTGTGTGTGTGTGTGTGTGTGTGTGTGTGTGTGTGTGTGTGTGTGTGTGTGTGTGTGTGTGTGTGTGTGTGTGAGTGTGTGTGTGTACACATTGCTGGTATCGCTTATTAGGACAAAATAAGTCTTGCAAAATCTAAGAAGGTATGAAGAAGAGGAAGAGGATGAGGTAAAGATTGAGATAGAGATCAAATGAGAAAGAGTGAGAGAGATAGCCGAAATTACGTTCAAGAGTAAATCCCTAGGAAGATGAATGTAAAGAAGAGAGAAATTTGTACCTGGGAAACAAGGCAGGATTAAGAGTAGTTAGAACCAGTTCAAGCAACATGTGGGAATCTCAGGACAAGCAACTTATGGGAGTCCCAGGACAAGCAACTTATGGGAGTTCCGGGCAAGCAACTTGTGGGAGCCTCATGAAAAGCAACTTGTGGGAGACCCAGGCCAAGCAACTGGTGGGAAGTCCCAGGACAAGGAACTGATGGGAGGTCCCAGGACAAGCAACTGGTGGGAGCCCCAGGACAAGGAACTTGTGGGAGACCCAGGACAAGCAACTTGTGGGAGACCCAGGACAAGCAACTTGTGGGAGCCTCAGGACAAGCAACTTGTGGGAGACCCAGGACAAGCAACTTGTGGGAGACCCAGGACAAGCAACTTGTGGGAGACCCAGGACAAGCAACTTGTGGGAGCCTCAGGACAAGCAACTTGTGGGAGACCCAGGACAAGCAACTTGTGGGAGACCCAGGACAAGCAACTTGTGGGAGCCTCAGGACAAGCAACTTGTGGGAGACCCAGGACAAGCAACTGGTGGGAGACCCAGGACAAGCAACTGGTGGGAGGTCCCAGGACAAGCAACTGATGGGAGGTCCCAGGACAAGCGACTGGTGGGAGCCCCAGGACAAGCAACTGGTGGGAGACCCAGGACAAGCAATTGGTAGGAGCCCCAGGACAAGCAATTGGTGGGAGCCCCAGGAAAAGCAATTTGTGGGAGCCCCAGGACAAGCAACTGCTGGGAGCCCCAGGACAAGCAACTGCTGGGAGCCCCAGGACAAGCAATTGGTGGGAACCCCAGGACAAGCAACTTGTGGGAGTCCAAGGACAATCAACTTGTGGGATCCCCAGGACAAACAATTAGTAGGAGCCCCAGGACAAGCAATTGGTGGGAGCCCCAGGACAAGCAACTTGTGGGAGCCCCAGGACAAGCAATTGGTGGGAGCCCCAGGACAAGCAACTTGTGGGAGCCCTAGGACAAGCAATTGGTGGGAGTTCCAGGACAAGCAACTTGTGGGAGTCCCAGGACAAGCAACTTTTGGGAGTCCCAGGACAAGCAACTGGTGGGAGCCCCAGGAACAAGCAATACGTTGAGGTCTCAAGGCAAGCAGCTTGCAGACGTTATTAGAATTTGTATGAGACTGATATAAATCGATGACACATCGAATTATCAAAGTGACATAAACTACCCGCGGGCAACAGAAAACAACATAATGTTCAAAGAGAACAAATTTCATTCACTCCACTGAGGGAAAAAATTGAAACACTGATAAATGGAAGATTGAATAATATACACTTAATTCATTTGTTACAGATGCATGAAAATGTTACATGTCGGGAGACAAGAGTTTTCAAACAAGAGAAGTCTAGCTAATGATGATGCTGATCAAGGCACTGGTAATTAAGACAACAATATGGTTGCGTGCTGACTGCCCCATTAAAGGCTGGCGAACAACCAGATCAAGAAATCGAACAGAGAAATTTCACTGCCCACATAAATTCAGTGAAAACCTTAATTATTCACAGACCTAAATCAGTTTCTTTGCTTAAGATTTGTTGCCTGTTTCTTATAATTTTCGATTTGTTGCTTTCTTAAAAGATGCTCAAATTTGTGTATTACGTTCAGTTTCTGGTCCAGTCGCCTACAAAATAGTGTTGCCACTATCCCTAGTCATATAACAGGTCTTAAAATGAATGTGGGGAGGGTGAAAAAGATTGTGAGGGAGGGAAGAAGGGGTCAGAGGGCACCTGAGGAGGCTGAAAGCTGACGGCTGACGTCATGCCAACTATAGGGACGTCTATCGTATTGTGTTTTGTTTTAGTACGGGTGTTTATTGTGGTTCCTGTAACTGGGTACATGGGGGAAGGGGAGGGATGTTAACTAACCGGATAGCTTCAGTTTGTGGTGAATCTGTCCTAAAGAAGCAGCAGAGAAATATTACAAAATTTATCAAAAAAGCTGACTGCGCAGTGGGCATACGACTGAATGAAAGATGAAGACTTGGGCAAGTCATGGGCCCCCAATAATGTTTGTTTTACTTTCAGATTCTTGTGTGAATGGGATAGCACAGCCAGGAGTTTACAGTAGTCCCAGAAACAACAGCTAAATAGGAATAGACTTAAACTTGGCACTAGGAATGTAGTCTGAGACAGTGTGGTTAATCAAAAAAAAAAAAAAAGGTCCTCTTGCCTCCTCTATACATAAAACTTGACTTAATAAAGCAAATTATGGAGATCGAGGCTGTCGGATGGCAAACTCTGAAAGGGTATTTTTCGAGGGATGAGAATTTTGAAAACTACATTATTACCCTTCAAGATGTCAATAAAAATTTCTGAGCTACACGGAGCCAAGCTACAAAGAAATTGTGAACAGGATGTTGAAAAAATTCAAGGCCTTAGGATGTAATACGAGTCTCAAGGTACGTTTCCTAGATACTTATTCTGAATACTTTTAAGGAAATCTGAGAACTGAGCGACGAGTAGAGTAAAAGGTTTCACCAGAATATAAAGAAAATGGAGAGAAAGCACCATGGTAAATGGAGGATCAACATGATGGGCGACAGCAAAAAAATACATTGATGAAAGAGAAACAAGCGTAGTTTTGAATGCATTTAACAAAAAGGTTTTTGAAGTTATTGATGGAAAATTTTATAAACATTTTTAATGGCACTGGGTGTAGCTTCAATAAATATACCTTTTTTCTACGTTGCTTTTTGAGTGATAGCATAGTATATTATGCATACATTTTAAGTAAATATATACTTCATGTTGTAAAGAAGTCTTATGCGATAAACAATAACTGATATTATATTTGGAATTAGCAAACCAGATAAATGCAAAATAAGTCAAAGTAACTGAAACAACTTTTAACATTTAACATTTTGTAGGACTGTAATGGAATCTCCTACAGGTTCTTAGAATATACTCATTGAAGAGCAGCCAAGAAAGACACGTTCTAAGCTGCCAGAAAAATACTAATCGGAGTAGTTCTTAATCTGCAAGATGGAATTAATCCCTGCGAGAGCAAGTGGCTCTGCAAATGGTGTAAATTATTCCCCTCGGGAAAGTAAGGGTGCAACAATTACACTAAGAGATAACTCAGCAAGTGTAAAGAGACCAAAACTTTTCAAGACACTCTTTTCAGATATACCAACAGACCTCTAACAGTCTTCAGACAGTGGTCCAGGACTGGGCCGCAAGGCAGTGGTCCAGGACCGGGCCGCGAGGCAGTGACACTTGAAACCATCAACAGGAAGCTAATCAATACAGGGAAAGAAAAATGGTACATGGAATTTTTCAAATTCTTTAGCTAAATATCGCTGATGAGAATATAAAGAAATTGAACCAGTCAAAAGGCACGTGAAGTAAGGAAATTATCTTATACAACACTAACGATAATTAACCAAAACTCATGGTACAAGAACAAAACAAATGTACGACACTCACAATAAAAGAACAAGGCAGAGTGCACAAACATAATCCAGACACACTGCAAAGAATACGGGAGCACAGTATAGAATCATGACAAATGGCAAAACAAATATGACCCATCATAAAAAAAATCCATGCGATAACACCATAAAAATCAAAGCATTCCAAAAACTGCTTAATGAGACCATCATCTGCCAGGAAAGACCCTCAGAAACACAGCTTGTCCCTCCAGCGAAGTCAGACAGACCCCCGACTTACCTTCCCTGCACGGTCTTCAACTGACACGCCACCTTGGGAAGACATGGATACACAAATTAATGAAACGCCGTCAATAGCCTAGAGCCCTAGATGAACTAAGATAACTATATGATACTTCTTGTAATACATCAAACACAAGGCCAGAAATATATGTCTTGCTAAACTGACCAGGAGAGGGATGAAGACGAGGAAGACTCTCGTAGCCATGGCGATGAAGTGCGTGTGTGTGAGTCCAGAGGAAGAGCCAGAGTTATATACATGCAGTGCTTCGCCTCTCTTTCCTCCCCCTTCCCCCCCTTCTCCAACTTCACCTCCTCCCCCACTTACCCTACCGTACCTTTAGAAAATAATGTGGAAATTGCTAAAGCTTTTTGCAACTTAGAAAATTCTACTGATTTATACATTGATTAAATCAATATAAGTAATTGAATGGTAAATAACTCCATGATAAAACAAAATAATCTGAGCTGTTCTCAGAGATAGGTTTAAATCATATGAAAATCTTATAAATAATGAGAATTTCAATATTACTAAAGCAGACAAAGTAAATGCAGTAGTAATTTTGAAAAATAAAAAAAAACTGATTACGGAGGTAACATGAATAATCTCTTGAATGTAACAGATACTTATTGCCTTACATTCTGTTAACAGTAACTTTAACAAAAATAATATAACAACAACTGAAAGGAAAAGACAAACTAATTATAAAATTCATGACCACCAACCCATCTTTACCATATACGCATGGATTAATCAATACACATAAACCAGGTAATCCAGCTTGATACATAATTAACTTCACTGGCTCAGTCGCCAACAACTTATTCAAATGGCAAGTTGATATGAGGAATTAGATACATGTGCAACAACTGAGTACCTTTATTGTAGGCGTTTTGCTATCCAGTGACTTTATCAATATAAATTCAAGGACACAACTCTGCCTTGGAGTTAATGAAGTGTACGTAGGTGTTTATACACTGGCATCAGGTGAGCGACGTGTAGCAGACAAGATATCGTCACTGGTAAGCGGGATCTCCCAGAGGAATTAGGTCATACCCGGGGGACGGGCCAGTTGTATTTAAGTAGGTTGTGGAGATGTCCTTTGAGCCAAGATTCCATGATGTTGCAGTTTCTGACAAGTTGTAAATGTTTGGTATACAATACCGACACATGTGTAAAATCAATTGGAGGAGAGTTAAACTATATACAGAAGATGATGTAATCAGTCCCTCAGCCTTGGAGTTGGTGAAGAGTACCTTAGTCGTGAAGAGTTTGAAGTACAGGCATGAAGAATGGCATTAGTAGATACATTGAGCCTAACTGTTGTCAAAGTGTCTAGCTTTAAGGTTAAGAATAATATTCATTTAGTTGATAAATTAAGCATCATTACTGATTAAAATAATTACAATATGGCTGGTTTTCTTGTCACTTCATTGTTCGTAAATTTTCCAGATGACGACCCATTAAGTTTCCTACCTGAAGACCTCTGTAATTACGATTTTCCATTTCTTGTGCCATCATTCATTGAGCATATTAAACTTTACATTGCTGATATAAAGTTTGTGTTTAGTAGCGAATTTTACACTCAGACGTTTGGTATGGCAATGGAAAATACTCTGTCACCAGTCCCCAGCGATTGTACAGGGAGTATTTTGATACAAAATTGCTTAACAGAATTCTTCCAGTAAAGCTAAGTGGTACTGATATGTGATTTATTGGTTTTGTATATATTATGAATTTAAAGTCGTAGTTCCCTTTAATAATTAAAACATCTGATTCGATAAGGAAAAATTTATATATATATATATATATATATATATATATATAATATATATATATATATATATATATATATATATATATATTATATATATATATATATATATATATATAATATATATATATATATATATATATATATATATATATATATATATAATGTATGTATGTATACAGTGAAACCTCTAGTCACGACCATAACTGATTCCAAAACTCTGGTCATGACCTGATTTGGTCGTGATCTGAACCTAATTTCCCCATTGGATTGTATGTAAATACGATTAATCCGTTAATTATACCATAAACGCACAGTGTAATAGTAAACTAAATGTGAAAACCTTGAATAACACAGAGAAAACCTTGAACAACAGAGAAAACTAACATTGCACCAGTCCGTTGTAGACCCCCTATGAACCATTTGCTGTAAACAGTTTCTTTTAAGAGTTTTAAGCACAGAAAAAAATAATCAAAGTTTGAAAAATCCTTAATTATACAAAATAATGCACAGTTTAATAGAGAAAAAAACTTATATAACAGAGAAAAAACATACTGTAAACAATCAAGAAAAGAAAATGAATTAAAAAACACACGAAATAAAACACAAGTTCTCTGACCGAGACCGATTATAAGACGAAGATCTTTGTTAGGTGTACATAAACAACAGGAAGTGGAGAAAATTGGTGTGTTCAAAAAAATGGCGCAGAATGTGAAAATAGGTGCTGTTGTGTTTATTCGGCACCTAGTTATGTGCTCATGACCGGATGCAAAAATTTGGCGAATTTTTGGGTCCAGAACCGATTTGTTCGTGTTCGGAAGCGTTCGTGACCAGAGGTTCCACTGAATGTATAATTTACAGAAAACTGCACAGTTTATGGTTCATGATAAATGTAAATAACACTCTGAATGTTAACCAATAAAATGTTGTTGACAAACCGTAAACCTTCTTCTAAATGAGTAATACAGGCAAAAAAGTGTTTATAAATTATATTTTTTTATGGCTAGCGTTATTTGCCTGCTCTTCCTCATGAACTAGTAAGTTCTGTGACGTAAGAATATGAAATGTAATTTGAGGGTATACAGAAACATGTAATATATTAGAGAACCTGTTCATGTCTCACCTCATTGAATTAATACATAGTTAAAGGAAATACTGATACATTATCAACCCATTTATCCCGGGCAAAATTCCTTTACCTAGCTGTGCAACAGTTATAATGATCTAAGCGTCTAATTTTTATAATCCTTGCATGGTCAGTTGTTCCAAGAATCTGGTCCCTGTTATTGTATACAAATATAGAAATTTTAACCAGACAGAAAGATGCATTCTTGAGTTATGAGAGGAAAAAATTAGAGAAAGAAAAATAATTATTGGGAACTGCTTACAGGTCACTCTTCGGGAATTCACAATACTCTCTAAATTCTATTTTTCAAAAGAATTATTTCGCTTGTTTCTTGCTTATTAAGAGTGTTATTACTTAACGGTCTTGGCTGCAGTAATACATGTTGATACATGAAAGATGAAGAAGTAATACTTGTCTATGATGCAGTTAATTGTGTTAAAACAGTAATACATGGATGTTGATGCCGTATTGCATGTAAACTGACACAGTAATACGTAATTGCTGGTGCAGTAATACATGTAGACTGGTACAGTAATACATGTAAGCTGAAACAGTGATGCATCAGATTCTACTTTCAGGTTCAACATTCATTATTACCGATATCGTATTGCTAGATGAAGAAATGCATGTAAATTAAATCAAGTTGTAAGTAATCGTATAACAAACCATCAACAGTATACAACAACCACAGGAGGGCAGTGGAAGGGGTGATGATGTAACTAGATCTTTCACACTGTAATGAAAAACAGGTCTTCAGGAGTAATGCTTGGAATGAGAAAGGAACAAGAGTCTCAGAGATAGAGTATTTCACAGAGGCGCGAGTCTGGGATAGCAGTCCAGTTCAGAAAGGTTAACTTGAGGCGGCACTCGCCTCTCCAATCCATGTGCCCAGTATAGAACAATAGTCAAGGAAAGTGATTAACACTCCCCAAATGTGGCGGGCTTAGGGGAAACTTGTATGTATATAGATATGTTTGTATGTACGTTTGTATGTATGTATGCAACATTTTATGTATTGTATGTGTACATGAACAAATACGTATATTCTACAGCATGTGTATTTATATGTATATGTATATATGTCCATATGTGTTCATCACCACTAGTAATATCACCGACACCATCACTGTCACTACCACCATCACTGTCACTACCATCATCACTGTCACTTCCATCATCAATGTCACTACCAGCATCACCACTGCACCACCACTGTCACTATCATCTACAACTCATCGCCACTACCTGTGCCTGTGTTTTAATGTGAATCTGTAACCAATAACAACGTACATGAGTTGTGAAGTTGTGATGCTGATCAAAACCGGATCTTTAAAGCAATTTTTTATTTATTACCACACTGGCCGATTCCCACCAAGGCAGGGTGGCCCGAAAAAGAAAAACTTTCACCATCATTCACTCCATCACTGTCTTGCCAGAAGGGTGCTTTACACTACAGTTTTTAAACTGCAACATTAACACCCCTCCTTCAGAGTGCAGGCACTGTACTTCCCATCTCCAGGACTCAAGTCCGGCCTGCCGGTTTCCCTGAACCCCTTCATAAATGTTACTTTGCTCACACTCCAACAGCACATCAAGTATTAAAAACCATTTGTCTCAATTCACTCCTATCAAACACGCTCAGGCATGCCTGCTGGAAGTCCAAGCCCCTCGCACTCAAAACCTCCTTTACCCCCTCCCTCCAACCTTTTCTAGGCCGACCCCTACCCCGCCTTCCTTCCACTACAGACTGATACACTCTTGAAGTCATTCTGTTTCGCTCCATTCTCTCTACATGTCCGAACCACCTTAACAACCCTTCCTCAGCCCTCTGGACAACAGTTTTGGTAATCCCGCACCTCCTCCTAACTTCCAAACTACGAATTCTCTGCATTATATTCACACCACACATTGCCCTCAGACATGACATCTCCACTGCCTCCAGCCTTCTCCTCGCTGCAACATTCATCACCCATGCTTCACACCCATATAAGAGTGTTGGTAAAAAATATACTCTCATACATTCCCCTCTTTGCCTCCAAGGACAAAGTTCTTTGTCTCCACAGACTCCTAAGTGCACCATTCACCCTTTTCCCCTCATCAATTCTATGAGTCACCTCATCTTTCATAGACTCATCCGCTGGCTCGTCCACTCCCAAAATATCTGAAATACATTCACCTCCTCCTTACTCTATCCCTCCAATGGATATCCAACCTTTCATCACTAATATTTTTGTTATCCTCATAACCTTACTCTTTCCTGTATGCACTTTGATTTTCTTCTTTGCACACCCTATCCAAAATTCATCCACCCAACTCTGCAACTTCTCTTCAGAATCTCCCAAGAGCACAGTGTCATCAGCAAAGGCAATGTGACAACTCCCACTTTATGTTTGA